CCTTCGGCCCAGTCTGAGGTCCTGAGCACTCTGGAGAAGGTTTTCGTCCAGGATGTCCCTGTACTTGGCCGCATTCATCTTTCCCTCGATTGAAAGCAGTCGTCCTGTCCCTGCAGCTGAAAAACACGCCCACAGCATGATGCTGCCACCACCGTGCTTCACTGTTGGGACTGTATTGGACTGGTGATGAGCAGTGCCTGGTTTTCTCTACACATACCGCTTAGAATTAAGGCCAAAAAGTTCTATCTTGGTCTCATCAGACCAGATAATCTTATTTCTCACCCTCTTGGAGTCCTTCAGGTGTTTTTTTAGCAAACTTTCATGTGTTTTGCACTGAGGAGAGGCTTCCGTCGGGCCCTCTGCCATAAAGCCCTGACTGGTGGAGGGCTGCAGTTATGGTTGACTTTCTACAACTTTCTCCCATCTCCCGACTGCATCTCTGGAGCTCAGCCACAGTGATCTTTGGGTTCTTCTTTACCTCTCTCACCAAGGCTCTTCTCCCCCGATAGCTCAGTTTGGCCGGACGGCCAGCTCTAGGAAGGGTTCTGGTCGTCCCAAACGTCTTCCATTTAAGGATTATGGAGGCCACTGTGCTCTTAGGAACCTTAAGTGCAGCAGAAATTTTTTTGTAACCTTGGCCAGATCTGTGCCTTGCCAGAATTTTGTCTCTGAGCTCTTCAGGCAGTTCCTTTGACCTCATGATTCTCATTTGCTCTGACATGCACTGTGAGCTGTAAGGTCTTATATAGACAGGTGTGTGGCTTTCCTAATCAAGTCCAATCAGTATAATCAAACACAGCTGGACTCAAATGAAGGTGTAGAACCATCTCAAGGATGATCAGAAGAAATGGACAGCACCTGAGTTAAATATATGAGTGTCACAGCAAAGGGTCTGAATACTTAGGACCATGTGATATTTCAGTTTTTCTTTTTTAATAAATCTGCAAAAATGTCAACAATTCTGTGTTTTTCTGTCAATATGGGGTGCTGTGTGTACATTAATGAGGAAAAAAAATTAACTTAAATGATTTTAGCAAATGGCTGCAATATAACAAAGAGTGAAAAATTGAAGGGGGTCTGAATACTTTCCGTACCCACTGTATATACCAAATGCTGGATGCAAAAATAATAATAATAATAATAATATATATACACATACACACACATAGGATTTTTACCTGGCAAACATTCTCCTTCAATGACGCACCTCCACCTTTCTCCCCTGATTTTCTATTGGTCGAGAATCCTGTTAAATCACCTGATAAAGAATCTCTGCTTGAAAAAGCACTGTCATTGAGTCCTGCACCAAAAACCTGAAAATTAAACACAAAAAACAGTTATATAACTCTATAAATAGAGATATATCTCAGCATGATTAATCAATGAATCAAAACACAGAAGAAGATATATCATGAGGTTTGAATCGTGAGGGTGAGTGAGTGATGACATCATATTTATTATAGGCTGATGAAAAATGTGCAGCTAATAATAATGACCTCAGAGGTCAGGGAGTCCTCGTCATTTGTGTGTGACTCCTTTGCCTGAGGCTTTGACGGGCTGCTCTGCTCTCCTTCAAGCTGGATCTGGCAGACACTGGCTGTGTCCTGCTGGATTGGGGATGATGTTCTTATTTCATCCTCACTTTGAGCTGCTGCTAAGGATGACAGAAATAAACATGATTGTAAATTTCTGGAAAATAGAACGGTGGATCAATCAAACAATATTCTCAATAAAATACAACAAATAGATGACAGAATATAATGATAAGAGTCACACATGAGAAAACAAACCTGATGCAGCACACGGGCTTGATGGTGTAGGTCCAGGCTCTTCCTGTTTCTGTTAAAAATAAATAAATATATATATATATATATATACACATACATACACAGTGTCAGGCAGGGTAAACCTTACAGTAGTACGCAACACTGATTACTGTCACACTTACGAAATCCTTCATCACTTGAATTAAGATATTTTTAAAGTAGACATAGGATGCAAAATGTTTGCATATAATAATTTATGCATTTAGCAGACGCTTTTATCCAAAGCGACTTACAGTGCATTCAGGCTATACATTTCGAACAATTGCTTTACGCCGAATTGCCGCTATTTCAAAGTGAAAGTAAAATGCGCAGGCCGCTTTTACAAGCTATTTAAAAGCAAAGGAAATCTAGGAAAAGAGGGAACGCCCCGCCCCCACGGTGATACCGGTATTACCGGTGTTGTCACACGTCGATTAACCGGTGGGAAAATGTCCTCACCGTCACAACCCTAATATATAGTTGTGTTATACTGTATGTTATTTGATGTTCATAAAAACATTAATAGTAGAGAAATGTAAAATAATGCTTTATTGTAAACAGAACTGATAGACATTTGTGCTTTTTTTTGTATTTGTAAACATTTTAGGAATGCTCACTATTAATGCAGCTAATGTCTAATAAAGGTAGGTTATTGCCTTTATTTTAGTATTTTCTGTGACCTAATCTAAAGAAAGAACTATTTACTTCTAATAAGCCATTAACAACTCCTTTACTACGGATTTAAATACTGTACATGAGTTAGGTATTGTTAACAAGTTGTTAACAAAGGATAATAAAACATTATCTAACTCTTTACATATGAGCTAATTAAGCGATAATAATTTAACTACATGACAATAAATGAAGAACGCACTATTTGTACATAACCTATTAATGTATTAATGTACAGAATACAGTTTATAAACTATGAAATTAACTATAAACTAATAGTTTGCTAATTATTTTTAAGTTACTGTATACTTATTATAAAGTATTACCAATTTATTAAAATTACTATATACATTACTAAAAAATACATTCCACATAAAGCACACCCCAAAACATTACCTGAATATCTTTGACATCGGATTCATCTGGGCTGATATCTTGTTTACTCTCCTGATTTAACAGAGGTAAAAAGAAAAAAACAACAACAAGAGTAAAAACAAATACAGAAGACCCCAAAACATTTCATAATTTTTCAGAAATCATATCGACACCACAAATTTAACACTAACCTCTTTTTTTGGGATCTTTACAGAATCCCCCTCAACGGTGCAGTCTAGAATTTTATGCACAGTCTTACGTGGTCTCTTTCTATCTGAGGGTGCTGCAACAGCAATATAAAATATGTTTATACCTACAGCTGACATTTACAAGTGAAGTTAAGTGTCTTAAACTACACATTCTTACCAGATTTCTTCTTACATGACTCTCTGTTTAGTGATGGGCCTTCACAGGATGGCGATAACAGTGTTGAAGGTGATACAAGATTATCTGCTGGTTCTTTCTGCTCCTCTGGTGTGGCCTGCTCAGAGGGTTTTTCAGGTGAAGAGCTTAAAGCATCAGGTGTGATCTGCTCAGGTGCTGGCTGGTCAACAGTGTTGGCGATCCAAGATCCCTTCAGGAAAGGCATGAAATAACATTATTCACATACTGTTTGCACATTCGGATTACCTTTTACCTATAGTTTGTTCGGAATACCTCATCCAAGCCTGAATTATGACAATTTTAGTACTTTCTGTACTTTTCAAACTTGGCACCTCGTGTTGCATGTTGTGCCACAAGTCAATGTCAATGACGCCAAACATCACTGGCTCTTGCATGCATTTAAATATTTTGAATTGAATGCATGCATGAATGAACTACGATTTATATAGATCTTTTTGTGATTTTTGAGGCCTGATAACTATAGTATCCACTTTGTCGTATGGAGAAGAGCAAAATATTATAACATCTAAAATCTGCTTTTATGTCCATGAAAAAGTCAAATAGGTTTTAAATGACATGAGAGTGAGTATAATGACAGAATGTTTATTTATGGGTGAGTTACTGAAAAAAAATTTCAATACTAAAAAAAAAGATCAATTTCTGTAGGTTGAAGTCCACTGGGTCAACAGAAACAATGTAAAGAGTTGCAAAATTAGCTTACCGTTTTAAAGGACTCGGGAGTTTTCTTTGATTTCTTCTTTGTGGAAAATATTTGCTCATATTCTTCACTGCATTCAATCAGTCTCTTGCTTGGTTTTCTATGCCTTTTGTTTTCTGAGAACAGAATAATTCAAAATTCACTGAATTTAGCCCAAAACATTGATAAGGTTTTTAACTTTTGAGACTTAATCTAATATTTCCTGAAGTTACCTGAAGCATCTTTTTTATCAGGGATGTCAGAATGAGCCGCTTCTTCAAGACTGTCTTTGAAAACTCCATTTAGATCTGTGGACTCCTTCACTACATCTTGATTCAAACCAACCGGATCGCTCTTTGGCTTGGTGCTTTTCCCAATGCCAGACTCAAATGTTTGCCATCGCTTTTTAGGAGCAACCTTGGAGATGGTGCCCTTACCACAGACATCAGGAACAGCATCATGGTGAGAGTTGGAAAGTTCCCCTAGCAGAGGCAAACTCTTTTCAAGTGCATCCAAACCTACTGATGAGTTCTGCTTTTTCAGTGGAGAAACTAAATTGTTCCCACCATCGTGTTTTTGCATCTCCTTTTTCACTGATGATTTCAGCTTGGCCTTGCCCTGTTTTGGCGTTGACGTCTTCCCCTGCCGACTGTTCTGATCCGCAATTGCCTTCCAGTCCTTTTCACAAAGCACCTCATTTGTTGCTTCTTCTCCAGGTGGGATAGAAGAAGGTTCTTCCCTGATGAGAGAGGATGGAGATGTGGGAGGGAGGGTTAAAGGTTTCCCTTCCTTCTCCCGGCTGTCGTGCAGATCCTTCAGGAGCATTAGGAAAGTGCTGAATTTGTAGTTTGAATCCGCAAGGAGCGAAGTTTCTCCTGAGCTGCATTCGTCTTTGACAAGAGACCTGAAAGAAAGCTCCTTCATATCCTGGAAAGCATCCATAGGAGAGATCGAGGGAGACGGGATGGATGAAGACGAAGTGTCTGAGATCATGCTCTCGTTTTTGATTTTAACGGAATTGAGGGAGGATTCATTCACATCTGACTTGGAACCTTTATGTCGAGGTCCATTATGAATGCCATTTTTCTCTTTTCGGATTCTGGTAAACTTAATAAGAGTTGGGTTTAGGGGTGAGTGGGAGTTAGAGTCATCCGTGGACTCTTCACTGGCCTCTGTTTTTACCTGCCATTGATGTTTTGACAACTCAGAATGGTCGGTGGGGGATGAGCACTTGTTGTAAAAAAAGTTTTCATCACCAGCACATGGTGAACGAGATTCTGGCTCCTGACTTAAATCTTTCTCCTTGGTCTTTCTCCTGGCGGCAAGTGCTCTTGAGATTAAGCCATTGCTGGCAGGAAAATAATGAGAGTGCATGGCAAAAGACCCATCTGAGGACCCCAGGGAACTGCTTTCCTTCTGTCTGGAGTTCGTAGCCCTAAGTGTTTTTTCTTTGGGCGTTGACTTCTTTAGCTTACGGTTTGTTGTGCATTTTGAACCAGCCTCTGTTTTCTTCACCGGCTTGTCCACGTTGGCTTTTTTCGTCTTTTTACTTGGCTGTACTTTCTTAGGTTTAGTGCTCAATTCTTTCGCCATCGCCTCCTGCGGCAATTCCACTGAACGTTTGGGGCAAAGAATCCTCGGGACAGAGTCAATATCTGAATATGGACTATCTAGGGGGTCTGGTTTGTGCCATTCAGCGGCTGTGGAAGGTTTGTAGCTGTCTGATGAAGGGTTTGATGATGGTTTAGATAAAGAGTTTTCAGTTAGTTTCACAGGAGATTTTACAGTTGAGCTGTTCTTCTTAGTTGCCTTCTTTTTGCTTCCAGTGCCAGGTTTTCCTTTGTTTTTAATGGATGCATCTAGTCCATTGGACAAAATTGAGCCTGATGATGTGGACTGTGTAGTAGATGTCGGGCAAGCAGGACTTTTTGGTGCCTTGTCTTCTGTAATAGGCATGTGCACATCCCGAATTACAGTCAAAGGAGGTTCGCTATTTAACCGATTGGTCAGTGCTGCCTCTGCCTCCAAGACACTAGCTTTCCATGAAGGCATTAGACGCTTGGGAACCTGTAGAATAAACAAAACATATTAACTTTCTATCAAAAGCATTAATGTCATTTGATCATAAACATTCATTTTTCAAAATATAACAGCAAAAAAGTTACAAGTTTGCAACACACAAAAGCTTTACCGTGTATTTGTAATCTTTGTCCTTCTGTCTTCCTCTCCGTCTAAGTACAGGCAGTTTTTCAAACTGATGACCTCCTTCAAAAGGAAAAGTGGCTTTTGCCGGGACCCAAGCTTGGTCTATGATCTCCCCGAACATCCTGACAAAATAGAGACGGCATGGCCGACGACTGGGGTCTGCAAGAAAATGCCATTATTCTGTGATAATATGACAACAATGAGTTCTAAGAATGGTTTTAACTTATAAGACGTTTTGGTTTCCATGATAATATTAATAATGCTAAATATCTTGTTACGTGCTAAATTAGAACATGAGCATTTACTTTCTTGAACACAGCAAAACGAAAATATCTACACTGTGTCGTCTGTCTTGCAACATACATGTGGAAGAACTTCTATTGCTTTTAGGACAAAGACGGTCTGCAGACACTCTAAATTCTAAGTAAAAGCTGAACAAGTGCATAAAAAAATCTAAATCGATAACCATATTATGTCAATAGAATATCATCTCACCCACGTGAAATTAGGCATCCACTATGAATAGTCATACAAAAGGTGATCAAAACAAAAGATATCACCTTTCATTTTGGTGTGGACTTCAATCTGTGGGTCAGCGGTTACATGACAGGGCCACCAGGGTCTGCGGTTGAATTTGGCCCACACGACATCTTCTACAGAGTACTTTATACCTGGGAGCTGCTTCTTCTTTGGGCTGTTGGACTTTAGGTTAAAATAAAAAGTTGTCCGTTTAATCAACATTCGTTAAACATCATTAACATGAGTCAAGACAGCTTGAGTTGTTTGTTTAGGCTACTCTTTTAACATTTCAGATACTCTCAACTTGCAAAGAGCTGTTTGTGGGTGACAATCTAACTTAGGGCTGCACGAGTAAAAAAAAAAAAATCCTAATTGTCGATTATTCCCTTGAAATTATAATGATTACATTTTATTTACAATTATCACAATTAGCATTGAATGATGTTAATACCATTGTTTGAAGCAACTGCATGCCATATTTTTAGATGAAAATAAACAACCTGAAAACACTCTAACCGAAAAAATTGTATTGCTTTTCTTTAGTATTAAGCCTCAAATGTCAACTATACATTGGATTGGTTTCTTCTTTAAATAAAAAAAAAAGTAAAAATATGTTTTTATAATTAAGCACGCAGAATAACATAAGTGGACTTTGAAAGATGAATTGCCACTTTGAATGATTACGCAATTGTGGCATCCGTAATTGTTATCACGATTAGAAATTCGATTAATTGTGCAGCCCTAACCTAACTGCAACCCACGAGTGAATGAAATATTGATCTAGTCCATACTACAGCCTTTGTCCTTCCTGTGACAAAGATCGTGGTCAGATAAGTTTCACAAAAATAAGTATGAACCAACAAGCACTTAGCATAGACCTCTGCTCCACTGGAAAAAATGAAGCTCCAACTCAACTGTGTGGTTCAAGAGGTGTTCAGCTTGAGGGAGGGTGATACAAATGACTTCCGTCTATGACAACTTGTAATTTAAAAACAACTGGGCAATACCAACTGTAAATAAACATACCTCAGCTTACAAGTAGCAAATATGTTGTTGAAGTGGAAGTGTGTAATTTCTACACCATAAACGTCATCATACTGAATTGCAAAAATAATGAGTTTTCAAACAAGCAAGCCAAACACTCCCCCTGTGTGCTCCTGTTAAAAAATAATAATAATAATAATATACATATATATAAATATACTGGTTAAGCCAATGTTGTTGTGGCAAAGCAATGTTTTGATAGTGCCAGTGTTTAGCCAGATCAACCTATGAATGAGTTGAGTTTCTGCATATTAAGATGAGAAAAAATAAAGAATATACTTTTAATTGCTAAGGTACCATGCAATTATTATGTTGATATAAATAATGTGCTACTTATTACCCCTTATGTTATATAAAATGCATGTTTATCAAATTAAACAAATAGTCTTTTATAGTGATAGACTAACATTTCATTTTGGAATTACCAGCATCAGCCGGATACTTTGGTCAACTGACAGAAGTGATTCTACTTGAAGTTACAACACACATTTGATTTTCAGATATTTCTTAATTCTTGTGAAAAAAAAATGCACACTTAAATAATACACACAGTGGGATCCAAAAATCTCAGACTGCTAGTGAAAATGCTTATATTTAGCATTTTTCTGATTGCATTTCTGATTCCCAATACAAAACAACTTTATGTTGCTTTAATCAGAGAAGCACTTGAGCTGCTCCACATATTTGAGTAAATCCTGATCATCATGATATCCAGCATGATTTGAAAATTCCCAAAGAGCACCTTGTGCTTCAATGGAAACAAACACATATGACTTCACATGATCAATGTCACAAATTTGTTTACCAGATTAGTGACTTAGAAATTGTTCAGAATTTTAACAAAAGGTCATAACATTTTATTTTATTTTAATTAAAATAGTTTATTTCAAGGTTTGAATTACAGATTGTCAGTGTGGTTTTGAGCCTTTGGACCCCACTGTGTGTGTGCATGAATACACACATATACATATATATATACACATACATATACATATATACATACATACATACATACACACACATATATATATATATACATATATATGTATGAAGTTTATATGTATTTGTATATGTGCATACACATATACACTGTATATATAAAAAATAATGGATTTTCTTCCTGGACAATAGTGCATTCTTAGGTGGAAAATCTAACAATATAACTTGTACACCTGTTAGGAAAAAAAAAAACAAAGACAACGAAACAATAAATCTGATGAACATAAAAACATCTTACAGGATTTGAATGGGAGTCACTGGGTGAATTTGGTCTTTTAGAGAGACCAGAGTTGAATATTGAAGCACTGTTCTCAGTGCTGGGAAGATCACAGTCACTGTCTGAATAATCATCCATACTGTCAAAATCCTCCATCATGACCTCGACAGGCAAATGTGATGGACTACCAGGAGGGTTAGACTTCACTGTATTTTTAGAAACAAGGTTACAACTTCCATGTTTGTTTTTACTTAGGTCCAGCCTGTGGCTGCTAGGAGCCTTTGTGTTTGCCAGATTTCGTTTCTGGCATTTATTTGACGTGTCTTTAAACGGTGCCACCACATCAACCCTATCATGCTCCTCCTCCTCATTATCCTTGCTGTCCCCACTATCAAACAGGGTCGACTCGAAATGCAAAATTCCATTTGGGATGGATGGAAAATGTTCCAAGCTATCAGAGCTTACTGGTGAGAAACCATTTTTGTCCAGATCCTGAATAGCAGTCCTGTCAGTGTTTCCTTGCGAATTGGACGTGTGATAAAGGCCTATTCCAAACTCACCTCCGCCAGTGGGATTGTGCATGAGCAATTTATTTCGCCTGTGAAAGTCCTTGTCCTGCAAACTCATGTCGGCATGGTTCACCATAGTGGTCAGGTCCTGAAGTCTCCTCAACGGACTGTAGTTGGAGGTGGATTCTCTCGGATTGTACGCGAACGGCGATGTGGAGAGTTTGTAGCCAGAGTTTAAGAAATGCATGGCAGACCCCTGGTCCCCCTGCTGCTTTGTGCTTTGGTATCCACAGGAGCTGATGCGGCTATCAAGTGCCTTGGTCTCCTGTGGATCGCCATGACGCTCCAAGCCATCCCTGCCAGCCACTTTGTAGGACTGATTCATGTTGTCATTGCTCCGTCCTGCGACAAAACACAGGGAAATACTTTTAGAAGATGTTTTTATAAGATGGCCTATAGAATTATAACTCAGGCTTTTCTTAACTCCTAAGGGGTTTGTTGCAACTGGCCACAACACACTAATGAGTTGTGTATTAAGCTGAACATTGCAATCTAATTCAAAACAATTAAGCAGCAGAACACATTGATTCCACATCAACATGACATTTTAACAGCAAAAACGTTGTAATGCTGCAAAACACCAACATGCACATGCAATATATTCCTGCTGAAAACACAGCTTAAACTGCCAGCTTGTTTTTAACTGGTGCAAATTGGAAGACCATCTTTGACCAGCTAACCAGATGCCAGCTTAATGTGGTCATAATGTTGTTTGGAGCATGGAAGCTGGTCGACCAGCTTATAACCATCTCAAACCGGCTAGAAACCAGCTATCATGTTTCAAAACATAGCTAGCGTCTTAAACTGTTTTTTTGTAACAGAGTGGCTACTCGGGTTTAAGTTGCAACCCTTTGTAGGCCGTCTTGTCAAGAATCCATCAAGACAAAGATAAAGCTTGAAAAACTCAACATAAATTGCTGTCAAAGACACTTCGATATGCTCCTACTGGACTGTTTAAAGATGACCTCTGCCGCGATCTCAGTGCGAAAACGCTGGCAAAGTATGTTACATTATCATCATGTGCATCAACAGTTCCCATACAGTCCTACAGCAGTAAAGTCACCCACGACGGGAAATGAAAACCGCACCAAATACAAAAGGTACATGAGAGAAATCGCCGGTTTCTTACCATTTACGACTCGGTCACGACAAAACCACCGGAAAGCCCTTCAAATTCGAGCATGTAGCGTTACTTTTTGTCAGTTTGTGAAAGCGGATCTGCAAAATCCCAGCAGCATTTGTACCAGTGGGCCCATTTGCACTCATTTCTCTCTCCAACATCAAAAATGGAGATTAATAAATAAACGAGAATGAAACTGATCGACTGTCACTTTTCCCCTAAGCACCACGTCAATGCATCTTAAGCACGTTTTTCAGCGGCCACGAATTCTATTGAAATACATGATTGTTTGCCCACATTGTTTGTGTTAAAATAAGCCCTGACTGACTGCCTGTATGCGTGTGTGTATGTGTGCTGGTGAGAGCGACCAATCGGCACAGCACACCCAACCCCCCAGTATACATCCACTTAACCCGATTCACTGTTTCCCAGGTACATCTCTCACTTACGCAAATCCATGTGGACAATGTGCAAGCAAACGCAAGTTTAACTTTGTCCCAAACGCGTCGTGCATACAGTACAGTTGACGCGGTGCGTGTTGGGCGCATGGAAGACACAACAGTGAGCATTTGCTTTTTAACCCTCACGCCATTTGTTTCCTTGTCCTAACAAAGGCGTAACTTCCTCCATTTTAGAGAGACCGCTCGTGCTTTGCAAGGTAGCCGACCACAGTAAGCCGTATGAGCAGAAAACTATTTATTGGTCTCGTTTAACACGCACGTGCTCCGATATGCTTGATTTTCTTAGTTTTCTTTGCGCGTTTTGCGGGTGGTTGGAAATTAGGCCATGCCACGCATAAGTGTTAATATGTCAGACGATTATGGCAAGCGGGTTTAACATTCTTCTTCTTCTTTCCAGTTTAACGGCGGTTGGCCCACGGGTTTAACATGTACAGGGCTGGGCAACTTCAGTCCTGGAGAGCCACTGGCTGCGTCCGAAATGGCATACTTCCCTACTATATAGTAGGCAAAAAGCAGTAGGCAAGCAAATAAGTATGTTAATCCTCTGTATTCATAAAAGAGTAGGCGAGAATTGCATTAATTCTCGCGAGACTCGGACGTACGTATACTTAATTTGCATTCTAATATGCCTACTTAACTACTATATAGTAGGGAAAAAGAGTATGTGAACAGATTAGTATGTCCGAAACCGCATTATTCATAAAAGAGTAGGCGAGAAATCCCCGGATGTCCTACTGCTTCAGCCCAGATTCTGAAGTGTTCATCGAGGGACACTTGTATATCCCAGAAGCCCACGGGAGAGGATACATCATCATCGAACTAAAACACAATTACAAACCAAAACACAGTTCCTTGTGTTAGTCCCTAGTAAGCACACATACGTCTCCAAAGTGCATTTACATAAACCATATACATCTTAAAGAAGATTACTAAATGTCTAACATCTGACAAGAAATGAGCACATCATAAGTTATCTATAGCATTTGTCCATTAGTATTGTCAATAAATTGAGGAACAATTGTGTTAGATAAAAAGCGAGTTAACACATCAGCAACTACCTCAACATTTAAATGTAGCATTAAGCAGATAAATCACAGAGGTAACTTGAATCTTGTCTGGATGT